TATGTTATCAGAGAGCAAGTTTCTTGTCTCACCCCAGAAGGAATTCAGAAACGAGACAAGGAGGTCGAGAAAGCAAAGCAAGGATTTATTAAGGGACAGAGAGCATGCTCTCAAGGGGAGAGCGAGCAGACCCAGGTGGGTAGCTGCCCCCAGTTTCTTTGGCAAGCTGGTTATATGGGTGTAAAAGTGAATGGGCAGAACATTCATTGGCAGAGAAGGGTTTGGGTCCTCTTTCCTGATCTTCATCCCACCTCCAGGTAGGTGGGATTTTTTTTTTTGGTCCTTATTTAGTCTTGATCGAGAACTTGGATGAGGGCATGATAAGCTAAAGGTTACATTTGGATGGGGGTATAATGAGTGAAAAATTACATTCCGATGATAAAGATTCCTGTCTTGTCCCAGGACACTTGTCAACCCAAAATATATGGTTTCTCATCATGCTGGAGGTTCCTGCTTTTCTCTGTCTGCCCAAGGACCCCCATTGTTCACAAGATGTGTGGTTTCCTGCCATTTGGCCTGTATCTCCCTTTCTCTGATCATATCTAGCTACCTGCCTGCTCTAAAAATTATGCTACATACTCTGCCTTCTAATTTAATGGTACATCTTGGAAATCTCTCCAAGTAAGCTAGTAAGTCTAACCCATTATTTTTAAAATTACTTTGTAGTTTTGTTGTATCATGTGAGTGTATCATAATTTATTCAACCATTCTTATAGTGTTTTCCTGACTCCATACATTTCATAAAGTTGCTGACCCCCCTTGTTTTTACTTCTGCTTCAGATTCTATATATTTTCCAACTCCCACATCTCTTCCTGCTATTGCCCTAAGCCACCTCGTCTAGCACTGGTTTCTAGTCTGTCTTTCATTGCCCTCTAGTGATTTCTTGTATGTAGGCCTTAGTTCTATAAATGAATTGTAAGCTCCTTAAGGACATACATGGATTTTGTTTAATATCAGGCACAGTACAAAACTAAGTGTGTTCACAGAGCAAGAGTGTCCATTTGATAATTTGGCAAGAGTAGAAGTTTTAGAGCTCTGAGTCCAGACTAGGGAGGGATAGAACAATCTCAGTGCATTTAAGTTTTCCTTGTGCTGTTATTTTTGCCACACATTTAATTCTTTTCAATTAAACATATATCTCTTCTGTGATCATGCTTAGTTCTGTGCATTTTTTGTCTCCATTAAATTATAGCTTCCTCTTAAGATTTTGATTTTTGTCTTCATCCCACTGCTGACACTTAGCCAGTGTGATTGATTTGACAGACTAGAAAGATCTCAGGAGTTTTAGATCTAGAGGTCATTCCAAGTCTCAGGTCACTCTGAAATTGCTGATTAGGTATATCTGAGCCCCAGATCAATTACAATCTAACCTACATACTGATGATGGTTAGGATTAGAGTTTTTAGAATGCAACTGGAAAGCACAAGCCCATTGAAAACTCAGTGATCCTTCTGGTCTAGACTCCCTCACCATTCTCCAAAACCAAGTTTATCAAAGCTTGGATAAGGCCTCTTCTTCAAAACCTTCAATGGTTCTCCAATGTGTGCAGATTAAATTACAAGCTGATTTGTTTGGAAACAAGACCCAACATGATCTCTTATCCTCCCACCTACATATTCAGCTTAATCTTTCCCCACTCCTGATGGTGGTGGTGGTAGTGGGAATGATGACAATTCTGATCAAATTAGAAGTAGCTAGTGTGTACTGAGTGCTTACTGTATGCCAGACACATTCATTCTGTAGTTGAATCTTCACAAAAACCTATAAGGTAGGGAAGTATTTTTTTATCCCTATTTTACAGGTGACAAAATTGAGAATCAAATTGGCTAAGTAACATGATATAACAGAGCTATTAAATAAGAAAACTAGGAATGTTCCACTAAAAAGAATTGACATTCTTAACCACTACTCCAGTGCTTCTCGAATAGTATTATGCATAAGAATTACTGGAGTGCTTTAAAAGAAACTGATTTTCAGGTCTCATTGAAGAGATTCAGATTCAAAAGATCTAGAGTCAGGATCAAGCAATATGCACATTTCTTTAGCACCTCTATGTGATTCTTTTTTGGGGGGGGGGTGGAATTGGTATTTGTTGTATTGTTTGTTTGTACTGGGGATTGAACCCAGGCTCTCATACATGCTAAGCATGTGCTCTACCATTGAGCTCTACCCTCCCCCTCTTCCGGGTGGTTCTGATGCACCACAGCCCACTGTCTCAGAAGTACTGTCCTACACCAGTGCTTCTCAAACTTTCATAGTCATAGGAATTACCTGGAAATCTTGCTCAACTGCAGATGCTGATTCAGTAGGTCTGGGATGGGGCTTGATTTTCTGCATTTCTAACAAGCTCCCAGGGGATACAAATATTGCTGGTCCACAGACCACACTTGAGGTAGAAAAGTCCTACACTGCTACATAGTCAGTGGACCAAAATAGAATGTGTTTAGCATAAAAATTAATTTTAGTTGAATAATATGTCTATATATATATATATCTCCTAGAAAACTCACGTACAAGTCTAATTTCTGTTACTTGAATTCCTTTTCACATTGACTTCTTTCATGATCATTTCAGTAGCTGCCATTATGTATTTCTGATAGATCTCTAATAGCATACCCCTTAACTTTATCAGTCAAGTACTTACATAAATACACAAGTACCTTAGCAGGAAGAAGTTACTAAATACAGAAATCCTGTGGTGAGTTCTTCAGTAAAGTGGATGATTTTTTTAATGTAAATAAGAAATTTTTAAAAAGGAGAAGAAAATCTTAGATTTTGAGAAGGACCAGAGAAATTGTTTTATGTAGACTTTGGGTTTTAAAGATAGGTAAAGTAAGTCAAGAAAGGGAAGGTGGTGTGGCTAAATTCGCACAGGGAATTAGTGGGAGAGCTGGAGCTCAAACGTTATTCTGGTTAGAGTTTGATTTGTCCTTATGGGAATTTTTGTTTTCAAAAAGTATCCTCAATTCTACCGAGGCCTAAATGTTTGAGAGAGGTATTTTTCACTGCTTTATATAGGGAAAAAAGTAGCTGTTTTTATAGGGAAAAAGTAGCTGTTTTTCCCTAATTAAATATGATTCTAGACCAGGTTAAGGAAACTTTTATTCTGTGAAGGGCCAGGTAGTAAATATTTTAGGCTTTGTGGGCCATCTGTTCTCTGTCACAACTACTCAACCACCGTTGTATCATGAGAAAGAGTAATATATGATATATGTGTAACAGCCGTGTGTGTGTGTATATATATACATATATACATACAAATGATTATGGCTATGGACACAGAATTTTCAATTTTCACATCATAAAGTATTATTAATTTGATTTTAAAACCATTTAAAATTAAACTGTAAAAACCATTCTTCGCTCATAAACCATTACAAAACCAGGCAGCAGGCCAGATTTGGCCCAAGGGCCATAATTTGCTGACTTCTCCTATAAATTAGTTTAGTTCTCCCAATCAAATGCTAATATCATCTTTCTCCAAATTGAGCAGGTATTTATTTCTTGAACTTCCCATGGAAAGCAACTAGCCTTTCAAAATTCGTTTGTGGAGTTAGTGATGTTGCATGAATTTTATTTACAAAGGACAGCTAACGGTCAGAAAGAGGTACATGGTAGCTTATGAGTGGACATTTCTGCATTGTTAAATTATTTCTAATCTCCAGGGGGGGATAAAGGAAAAGCCCAAGTAGGCAGACATGCTAAAAAGCAATTGGCTTCACCGTAACCACAGCTGTGTTTTTTATTAAAGGACTTTGCATTTCTTTTAAACCAGTCTATGGTCTGTGCTACTCACAGTTTAGGGGATGGGGAATATGCTGAAGTTTTAAAGCAGCCTATTCCTTTCATTTATGACAAGGAGACAGGAAACTGACAATAGTTTGAAAGCAACTGATGTATAGGTGGCACTTAGTCAAATACCAAAGGTTTCAAAGAAAGTCCTCTTGGTTCACTGTCAGATCACACCAAACTACCAAGGAAAAAAAGGAAAATGTCATATTAGCATAGTTGTTTTGGAAATGTCAGCTTTAACAATGGTCAGGTGACAAACTTGGTGCTCCACCATTTATTTATTTATTTTAATCAAAAGAAAATCACAGTTGGAAATCCAACCAAAATTCTGTCAAATGTCATTTGCCTTTGTATGCTTTGTTCAAAATGGTGGGTAGGTTGCATCTTCTTAAAAAGGTTCATTTAAGATAATTTCAGCATTTAAAAGTCAGTAAGGGTCTTTATAATAATAATCAATGCAGAATTCAAGGTTCTTTAAAAAAATAGGTTTCCAGGGAGAAAACACAAGCAAGAATTTAGCCATTCCAGCATGCTATTTTTGCACACTGCCCAGCCTTCGGATAACCAGCTGCAACAGGAAGATGGCCAAGGCAAGAGGACGATGTGCTTGGCTGGCTTCCCATCCTACTTCCTTTCCCAAACCCTTGACTTGCCTCATAAAACGTTATCCCATAAGGAAAGCTAGGAAAGCATTTTTGCTACAGATATATGTAAAAGAAAGAATTAAAGTCTCAGAATATTTACTAAGAATAGGTCATGCTGTTTCTTGTATTCCCTGTACTGTGGTTATAGCAGAGAGAAGACATTTTGGGCAAACTCATTAGGGGGAGAAGAGCACAATTTGAAGTTTCTTGGGTTCTCAGAGGTGAAACTTAATTGAAATCAATATGGGAAAAAGCAATGGGTAAAAACTGCTGCTCTGAACATAGGAAACTTGAATCAGCTAAAAACGTGATATGTGTAGAGTTCCTTGTGGAGTTGAAGTTTGTTCAATAAAAATGTTTCTATGAAGTTACATTGCTCTCCCTATTTCACTGCCGCTGGTTGAGCATCAGAATCACCACCATTGTTCCTTTTTTTGTTTTTTAAACATCCACAAGTTCACAAATCTAAAGATATTTGTAAGTATTTAAAAATTTACTAAGATTTTGAAGTGGAGGTAGAATTCATTTTGCTCAGTAAAGACATTACTGGAAACAGTGCTCGCTTTGGCAGCACATATACTAAATTGTGCTAAAATTGGAACGATACAGAGAAGATTAGCATGGCCCCTGCACAAGGATTACATGCAAATTCGTGAAGTGTTCCATATATTTTAAAAAGAATATGAAAGAGAATATATATATAACTGAATCACGATGCTGTACACCAGAAATTAATACAACATTGTAAATCAACCAAACTTCAATTAAAAGATAAGACATTAATGGAAATATTGTGTGTAAATAAAATCTCTGAATCAAATGCTATTTCCCCACTGATCTTCATGATTTTAGCAAGAAATTTAATGTTATTTTTATTGATCTTCAATAGACTATGATTTCTAACAGTTTAGCATTGTTTCTTTTCCCTCTAACTCCTAACTTTTGTTAAATAGCAAGTTATATGCAAATATTTAAATGTACTTGCAACTTAAGGCAATTCAACTTTAATGTTTTCTGTATGGTGAAAACAATGTATGAATAGCCAACTCATTTTATCTACTCTTAATTTTAGAATTTTAAATAATGGATTCTACACCTGTGTGTGTGTATACACCCCAAGTTTCTTTCATATAAATTTTCTCTCAGGACTAACAATCAAATAATTTCAAATGATATTTTTATTTATACTCCACCATCACAGAAAGACCTGTAGATATATTCTTTTCAGAAAATGAGACATTCTACCACTTTTCTATGTCTGAGATTTGCGATAGCCTAGTGTTTGTAAAATTGTGTTGCTAATCTCTGACTGCATTTTATTTCCATTTTCTGATTGAATTCTTCAGCTTGGGTGATTTCTGATGCCACTGACAGCTTTTATTAACTGTAAACATTTACCTGTGATGCAAGAATAATCCAAAGTTGATCCAGTCAAATTAATTACTTGATCAATCTAATGAGCAAATTCAATTCAACCTCTTTTCTGATGGAATTGGAATTGGCCAACAATTTGAATGAAATTTCTGGTCAATTAAATCAAAATTGTAGGAAAAGTAGTTTCATGTAGACACAGCCATACCATGGGACTCCCACCCACCTGGCTCCATGTCATTGACCCAGTGTAATGTGTTGCACATTCATTCATTCAGCAAATATTTATTGATTGCCTATTATGTGAGGGACACTGCTCTAAGTTCTAGAGATACAGTGATGAGTAAGACAGTGTCCTTCTCTTCAGTATGCTTACAGACAGAATTATCCAAGGGCAGCTGTTTGCTTAGTTTTTCCCACTCTGGTATCAACACTGTGATTCTAATAGCCAAGTAGGATTCACTAGATCAGGTATTTAATAGTACCTGCTGGGGCTTCTTATCTGAGGGGGTGGCAGGGGAGATTTTAAGAACAATAATGAGTTGGTAATTGTGAGGCCCCACACTGTGTAATGGGGACTATATACATTTTACAAGGCCATACAACAAATTCTAATGTCAGCCTTCTTTGACTCTTCAGAAGGGATCTGGCTATTCCTGGCCAAGTATGAGTCTTCTTGTGTGTGCCCTGTATTTGTACCTAGACCAGTCAGTCTAATCTCTGCCTTTTTCAGTCTTGTAAGACCCTGCATTCTAGGTCCATAACTTCAGAAATTACTGTGAAATTGCTATTTCCCTGCCTCTCCAACTGGAGTTTGTTATCTCTCCAGTCTTTCTACCTGACTTGTTCTGCTGATTGGGGTCAAGACTGGGCAGAAAAAGAGAGGTGCCGCTTTGGAAAAGTCATAGCTTGGATTCTGAGCTAAAAAATGGATCCCTCACTTGGTACTATTGGTACTCTTTGCCCATGCCGTCGTCTGGGTAACAAACATCTCCAGGTAGTGGCAGCTACTATTTAATATATTAAATAAGCATGCCTTGCCATACCCTGTGGGATACAGTCGCATGAGTGATCTCCTCTTGGTGCTTTTATTTCACTTGTTCTCGTGAGCTATAGTTGGTGACTGGTGGTTCAGCAGTTAAAGCAGTCATTAAATGATTTGGGGGTGTTTGTAGGAGCCTCCTATAAACACATATGTTACTGTTACTGAGTTTCTTTCAAAGGCTGGCAAAACACCAAATTACTTGGTTGTTTATCTAGATTAAAATATAAGTAGAATTTTAAAAGCAGATCTTTATGCCATCCAAGCATTTCATTATCCCTTTGCAGACTACATGATACAGAAAGCCTCATTTTGCAATATTACAGATAATTGCTAAATAAATATTTTTGACATTACTAATACATGATAGTAGAACTGGAGTGGAGGATTAAACTGTAAGGTCCTTGGATATGTGAGCTGTATCTTTAATCGTATTTGTAATCTTCAGGAACTGCACAGGGATAGGCACATAAATGCTCAAAAATTATTTGCTGATCTTATAATATAAAAAGTTGTTATTTTGTTATTGCTCTAGTTCAGGGGTTTCAGAGGAAGCTTGGGAAATAGTTACCTTTTATAATCTTCCACAAGAAGATGTTTTATGCAGATGACCATGTCCTGCTAAAGACTACCGCGTTTGTGCACTGTCAGGAGGGGTTTACGGTTTTTAATTACTTGTTATTCCGCTCTACTGAAACTTTAAGTAGAGGTTCCAAAAACTCAAGCTATGGATTTGGAAGAAGCTCTACTCTTTAGCATTTCCTTGGGATGGCCAACATAGTGAGGCCTGGGAGAGACAGTTTCCCAGGGGGTCTAGAAGGCAGTATCATCAGCTTTGATGGAATCCGCTTCATGTATGTCAAATAAAGCATGGAATTAAGACTAACCACAAGCATTAGGGAGGGTAGTGTTTTGCGACTTCATGCATTATCAAATGTTGTCGAGTGCTAACAAGATGATTATTCACTGCACCTGAATATGCATCCAGGTTAATGTTTTCTTGTTGAAAGGCGCTTTCATTAGGATAGTGTTTATTCACATTGATCCAGCTGGCTTCAGGAAATGATATAGATTTTTTTCTACAGCCCACAACTGTTATAAGGCCCAGGCTTATATTAGATTTCCCCTAATACTGATTTTGCTGATTACTTTGACCTTTATTGTCTATTTCTCCTAAACCCTCCTTTTTGGGCAGTTGTAAATGGGTGCAGTAAATAGCATTTACAGAGGCATTAGCAGATGCTATCTGTGTTTCCTGTCACCCTCTGCTACATGCAGTGCACAAATGTGATGAAATAAATGAGCACTTAAATGGCTACAGTGAGTCACACTGTTAAGGAGGCTGTGCTCAAGTATAGTGTTTATTTACATGTGCTAATTGACTCTAAAGATTTATCAAATTTGCTCATGGTGTATATATTCAGGTTCTTTGGAAGAACTGAAGCCATCTTCAGAAAATTGCAATATTATCTCAATAATTTAGTTGACAGTAGGTTGTGACAATAAATTCTCATTTTCTTCTAACCCCGCCCCCCTCGCATCATTGATCACTGTGTGCACTGCATACAAAAGCAAGAGATTGGCAGAGGAGTTATAGAGAATTGGCAGGATTATGTGGGGAAATTTTTTGGAGAGATCAACTTTTAAGTTAACTTGTAAATGAAAGGGAGATGGGCGGGAGGGCAGTAGGGCCAAATTAGAATGTCCTGCTAGGTTTTCTTATGCCTGGGCATGGAGCGATCTTGGGCAGAGATAAAGCTATATAGACTTGTATTGGATAGAGTAGTCCCCCCCACCCAGAGCAGTTCCCTGCACTGCGAAGGAAACCAAATTAGGAATGCGGTATGGGAATCATTGTGCGCTTTCTAGTGGGCGAATGAATGAAGACTTATAGGAGGAGAACCTTGATGAATGGAGAGGGTGGATTGCTAGGTGGCCTGAGGCAGGTCGTGAGACTGGCCAGCACTAGAAGAAGAGGCCTGTCTTTCTCCACATTCTAGAGTGGTGCTTTCCAATGCAATCACCACAGGTGTCTATTTAAATGTAAGTGAATTAAAATTCAATTCAATTGAAAAGTTCCTTAGTCAAGCTGGCTACATTTCAAATGCTCAATAGCTACATGTGGCTGAGCACTACTATATTGGAAAGCACAGAGACAGATCAGTCTCACCACTGCAGAAAGTTCTATTGGAAGTACTGTTCTAAAGCAATGAGCAGGAATAACTATTTGACAGATTAAGTGATTGGAGGCCCTTAGAGAGCTATGAGTGCCCCAGTGACCACAGAACTCTTTTTCTGTGTGTGAGCAAGTGAGAACAGCAGTGATATTAAATAACAAAGCAAGAAATGAAAGCAAAAAATTGGTACTTTTTTCCTGCTCCTGGACAGTTCAAATGCAGGTCTGTGATGGATTTCACTGGAAGAAAAAACCTGGCCATACATTTTAATCAAGGTGATTGAGGGTTTGTTCTTTTCATTTTGGTTTGTTTGTTTTGGTCAGGTGCTTTTAATTAAAGATATTTGTTGCACTTGCTGGTTAAAATCTTACCTTTTTAGTCTCATTTAGGCCCAATCTCTAATCTGTATGGGTCTATTATTTTGATGTCAAGGCAGTAACTAAAAAATAATTGCCTATTTTTTTTCTACTGTACTGACTTTTATAGGCTTCAAGGATATAGGAGATGAGGAGTTTTTCTGATAGGTATTAAATTTTATCAGACGTAAAGCCCTACATTTATACTCATAATACTTAATTGGATACACACATTTTGATATTGAAAAGATGTTTGCTTGCACTGTTTTCTGTGAATTTTCTGTTTGAAACTTGTGGTATTACCTGCCTCAATACAGTCTCCCCAGGGGTGAGGAGAATGTGATACAGTTGTTCACAGTAAGTCCTTGTGGAATTAAAAGGTAACTGTCTACCTGTGCAAATGACAGCAAGTAGTATTAAGTCATCCCTTTTACTCTTCCCTAATGCCCCCACTGACCAGCAAGAAAATCCATTTAGATGGTTCAAATATTATTTTGAATAAAGTAAGCATTTATTTTTTCATTCTTTCATTCAACCATGGAGCACCAAAAAAGAGGGGATGTGGGTTAAAAAAAAAAAAAGGAGCACCTACTGTCTTTGAGGTACTACTAGGAGAACTTGTAGAGTTTGTGAGGTTAAATTAGGTAACACCTGCCATTGAGGTATTTATAATCCAATGGCATAATTACAAAAAAGAGAAAAATGAAAATCATCAATAAAGAGATA